ACTTGTGCCTAAGCCCTGTTTGTCCTCAGGAGGGATGGGGGGAAACTGGACTTTCCACATGATGCGCCTGGAGGATTAGAACCAACACATCAATTTTAGAATCAGTTCTTTCTCCGATTCTAAACCACAACTGTATTTTGCTGCATATGCTGAGAAGGAGCGAATTCAAATTCCTTAAAATAGGCTTAATATATTTTATATCCCACAGAATGATAAGTAGAAGCTGGCACCTGCTGACAAGCTGCCTGTAGAAACTCACTTGAAGAATGAATGCAGTTAAACAATGCAAGTGAGAGAGACTCTAGACTACCTTCGGAAAGATGCCCTATCACAGGTTGCACAGATAAAGCTATTTTGACAGCAAGCTATACATACAATACTGAGATGACTCTAGTGTTTTTCACTTACACTTCATAAAAGCTGAGGACGGTACATTAGTCAAGGGACTGATACTGCATACAAAGCAAATATGATAAAAATTCCATACAAATTCTAGTGGAAACACAACTCTGAAATGGGAGAGATTTGTTGGAAATAAGTTTCCCCGGGCTATTTTTTGGCAGAAGCCAGTGCTTTTTTTCTAAAAAAATTATATGTTTAGGGGCACTCTCATTTTGACTCAAGAAAATCACCATTTTATAGTTCAAATCGGGGAAAATAAATTCAGTAAATGGACAAAAGTACAAAGATTCACAAAAGGTTTAGGGGTAGGCATACCCCTGAGTCCGCCCAGAAAAAAGCACTGATGGAAGCTGTATACAATAATATACTAGTAGATCCTTTATTCATATCTTTAATACTTTATTCACCTCAGGACCGCTTCTGACATAATATTTAATTATTATAGTTTAGGTTTTAGCCTACCCTTCATCAAATGATCCTGGTTTACAATACTGTACAACTACAATACAAACCATTCAAATAAATTCAGAAAATAAAAGGAGAAAAATATAAATAATTATCACTAACAAATTCAGTCACCCATGACTCTGTGGCAGCTGTCATCTCACCAAACAAGTAGGTATTTAGCTGGTGTCCAAAATGCCCGTGGCATCAGGGATGGCATTCCATACTTGGGGCCACCACAGAAAAGGCCTTCTTCTCAATACTGCATGATGTACTTCCCCTTAGATCTAAGAATCTGGGAAGCTGATATAGGAAGACATATTCCTTCAGATACATGGGTCCCAAGTCATTCAGGATACCAGCAGCTTAAATATCCTGAAAATGTGTGCAGGAAGTGTGCAAAACATTCTTGAAACTTGTGTGTTAAGAACAGTACATAAGCTGAGTAAATTAATAAATACATTCTGCACCTATTTTTACAAAATTCTTCAGGCTATTTGCCCATGGGCACCCTTTACAAGGTATACTATTTTCAACCAAATTGCCCAAACAATAAGGCTGGGGAGCTAATCCCTCCTCAAAGGTAAAGACTCTCCCTTGAATTAAGTCCCCTGCACCAAGCTCTCTGAAATGTGGTAGAATTCATTCAGTTCAATTATTTCAATTCATTCCCTCAGAAGGGGCAACAACACCTGCAAATTTCACCCACTGCTGCCAAGAAGCCCATGCATTTATCTGGCAGGCTTCTTCCATTCAGAAGAGGTTCCTGTGTCTGCAAAGTTTATCAATTTCTGTCAAAAAAATAGTTGCAAGGAGTCTGTCACCCCTCTCTAGCCTTATCATGTCCAAGTATAAAAACAGTTCGGGCAGAGATTGACTGGTATGGTGACAGAAGGGGGATTGGTCAGTGGTCCAACCCTTATCCATAGATAAAGACTTCGAAAAAGAACAAGATGGGGAGCAGCAGCCATATAATTGGGGAGCTCCACAGCCTACAAAGGCTAGCAACTTGAAGCATTTAACATCTTGGGGAAGGAAAGCTAATGAAAGAGATAAGTATTCCAGACACTGGAGGAAAGAAGTCAGGCAGACACTGTGACAGAATACCACAGCTCTGTAAAGAGGGGAGAATATACAGAAAGTGCACTTGGGGTCTGTATAAGAAAAAATTAAACAAGGTGGCCCAACAGTATTCGGAACTCAAGTTCCTGATGACCAGAAGAGGCTGAGGCTTCCCGTAGATATAACAGCCTCAACAAGTTTCCTCTTAGACCCTAAAGCACACTTGGCGTTCTGAAGGAATTTAGGCTCCTGAAAGTTGTGGGGCTTCTTATAAAGAGAAAGTAAACTGCGACAGTAGCCTTTTGTTCATTTTTCTTCATGGTAGTCAGTGGTGAGACTTGAAGTCTCATTCCACTTCAGGCCTGAGTCAAAGTAGGTTATGCCTGAAGCCTACATTTCTCAAACTTGGGTCCCCAGCTGTTGTTGGACTACAACTCTCATCATCCCTAGCTAGCAGGACAAGTCAGGGACTATGGGAGTTGTAGTCCCAAAACAGCTGGGGATTCATGTTTGAGAAGCACTACCTGAAGCAATCTGAAGGGAAGGGGCCACTCTCTGAAGCGCCAAAGTAGGATCCAAACAGAATCTTCTGTTCTGTACACTCCTGTAAAATATGGTGGCCATTAATACTATTATTTTAGTAACATAAGTGGCTATTTTCTTCTGGAAACTGATGTATACAGACAAGTTCAGCCCTTCTGAGGTATTAATCCTGACATACTGCAATGCAATGCAAAATTTCAGAATAGCTTCAAGGGCAGCTATATATAAGTTTTGGGGTGAGTAAAAAAGAAAGGAATCACATAAACTTCTCTAGTGTTTTGAGAACAATTGGTCTGAAAACTGCAGGCATAAGAGAGGTGCCCCTGGGTAAAAATTCCAAATTGCAGATAAGTATGTCCAGGTTTTTTTGTGCTAGGCATCTTTGAAATTGATTTTTTCAGGGGAGAGAACTAAAGGAGCTTCGGTTTTTGGGTAATCATTCCACTGATTACAAGTTTGATCCGTCAGTCACAATAGAGCTCTCCCTCTGTCCACTCTGCTGTTGTTGTTTTTATTTGCTTTCCCAATCGGCCCATTATAGCACTATTCCTTATATGGGAAGCTGAAAGACATTTAGTTTCCCTTCTGGTAGATGCTTGTTTGCAACATTTTCCTGACATCAGAATTGCTGAGGTAGCACAAGACACTTCAGGAGTCCCCCATTTTGTGCCGCGTCATACAGACCCTATTTCACTTTTGCCAGGCCCCAAATCCCCTCAAGGCACCTGGCTTTGGTTCAGGATTAATCTGTATGTGAGGCACACACCTTTGTTATTTCCTTTTTCTTTGAGGACCTTTGATGTTGTTGTTGTAATAATAATAATAATAATAATAATAATAATAATAATAATAATTTATTATTTGTACCCCGCCCATCTGGCTGGGTTTCCCCAGCCACTCTGGGCGGCTTCCATAGAAACCAAAAATACACTAAAATATCACACATTAAAAGCTTCCCTGAACAGGGCTGCCTTAAGATGTCTTCTGAATGTCAGGTAGTTGTTTATCGCTATGACATCTGATGGGAGGGCGTTCCACAGGGCGGGCGCCACTACCGAGAAGGCCCTCTGCCTGGTTCCCTGTAGCTTTGCTTCTCGCAATGAGGGAACCGCCAGAAGGCCCTCGGCGCTGGACCTCAGCGTCCGGGCAGAACGATGGGGGTGGAGACGCTCCTTCAGGTATACTGGGCAAAGGCCGTTTAAGGTTTTAAAGGTCAACACCAGCACTTTGAATTGTGCTCGGAAACGTACTGGGAGCCAATGTAGGTCTTTCAAGACCGGTGTTATGTGGTCTCGGCGGCCGCCCCCAGTCACCAGTCTAGCTGCCGCATTCTGGATTAGTTGTAGTTTCCGAGTCACCTTCAAAGGTAGCCCCACGTAGAGCGCATTGCAGTAGTCCAAGCGGGAGATAACTAGAGCATGCACCACTCTGGTGAGACAGCCTGCGTACCAGGTGGAGTTGGTAGACAGCTGCCCTGGATACAGAATTGACCTGCGCCTCCATGGACAGCTGTGAGTCCAAAATGACTCCCAGGCTGTGCACCTGGTCCTTCAGGGGCACAGTTACCCTATTCAGGACCAGGGAGTCCTCCACACCAGCCCGCCCCCTGTCCCCCAAAAACAGTTCTTCTGTCTTGTCAGGATTCAACTTCAATCCATTAGCCGCCATCCATCCTCCAACCACCTCCAGGCACTCACACAGGACCTTCATCGCCTTCACTGGTTCTGATTTGAAAGAGAGGTAGAGCTGGGTATCATCTGCATATTGATGGACATCCAGTCCAAACCCCCTGATGATCTCTCCCAGCGGCTTCATACAGATGTTAAAAAGCATGGGGGAGAGGACAGAACCCTGAGGCACCCCACAAGTGAGGGCCCAGGGGTCTGAACACTCACCCCCCACCACCACTTTCTGAACACGGCCCAGGAAGAAGGAGCGAAACCATTGTATAACAGTGCCCCCAGCTCCCAGCCCCTCTAGACGGCCCAGAAAGATGTTATGGTCGATTGTATCAAAGGCCGCTGACAGATCCAGCAGAACTAGGAAACAACTCTCACCTTTGTCCCTAGCTCGCCGGAGATCATCAACCAGTGCGACCAAGGCAGTTTCAGTCCCATGATGAGGCCTGAATCCCGATTGGAAGGGATCCAAATGGTCCGTATCCTCCAGGCGTGCCTGGAGTTGTTCAGCAACCACGCGCTCAATCACTTTGCCCAAGAATGGAAGATTTGAGACTGGGCGATAGTTGGCCATACTGGCCAGGTCTAAAGATGGTTTTTTAAGAAGCGGTTTAATGACCGCCTCTTTCAGCGGATCTGGGAATGTTCCCTCACAGAGGGAAGCATTCACCACCCCGCAGAGCCCATCGCCCAGCCCTTCTCGGCTTGCTTTTATTAGCCAGGATGGGCAAGGATCAAGGAGACAGGTGGTAATATAGGAAGCTGCCTTGTACCAAGTAAGTCCATTGGTCCATTTAGCTCACGATTGTCTGCGTTGACTGGAAGCAGCACTCCTGGGTTTTTCAGACTGGAGACATTCCCAGTTCTACTTGGAAATGTCAGGTGTTGAACCTGGGACTTTTTGCATGCAAAGCAGATACTCTGCCACTGAGCTACAGCCAGATACAAAGTATCTTGTTATGCAAGACATGAGGTGGAGAAGAAGTCTGAAGGAGGAGGAGACAGCTACTTTTTGTTACAGAATGTACAGCACTGAATTTGCAGGTGAGGGCTCATCCACTTACTTGTGCTGTGCCTACAAAGCGGTTTTCCACTTCCGCCACACTTTCTAGGCATGAGTCCAAATTCCTGTTTGCTCCGATTGAGCCATAAAGAGAGGTTTCCCCTGGGGACAAGAGGAAGTGTGGATAAGCCCTAAGTGGTTAGGATGAAATTTAAGTCTTGCTCTTCCCTCATCACACTTTCTGACCTTGAGGTAGCTTAGTCTTCTTCTGTATGACCTTGCCAAGAGAGAAGTGTGTTTTTTTATCACACTTTAGGTGCAAAAAGAGCACGTGTGGTAGAATAGTCAGTATGGGCTCACAGACATCAGCAAAAGTCCTCTTTTGGCTGATTGACTTACAAGTTTTGAACATTTTTACCTGAACTACCTGTCTTCCTTGATGAAAGATGGGTTACTGTAACATTTTTGTGATGATATACAGATGTACACTCGATGCTGTTCCACAACTATGCATGTAATTTCTGGTGCTGAAGATTCCAGGTCTCAAAACCTTTGTTCATCAGTTCAGAGGCATTCACACAGATGGAAATGACTGAAGAAATGATGCAGCAAGTGAATGGAAGTTTTGGGGCTGGTGGCTTATTCACCCTAAACAATAATAAGCAACTTTTAAAGATCAAAGAAGAGCAAGATTTTTCCTTTCCAGCAACCCATTATAAAATCATTAAGAAGTCTAAAGGCCTTGTCTCCCGTGTCACATGGATCCCTGGGTGATTTATAGAGCTAAGTTATTCATCATGATTACTGTGGTACTTCCAGCAAAGTTGTATTTATAAGAACAAATTGTATATCCTGCCTACCTCTCAAATGACCCACGTTAGGTGGGACCATCTTCATTTCAAACCTACATTTATCTCCATCAGGAGCTTAGCTTTACCATCTGGTAAGTGTCTTATTTATTTATTTGCCTACTCACTAATTATTTTTTTATTATTTTTTTTACTGGATCAGCCTCTTATTTTTATGTGAAATTACTCAGAATAGAATAGAAACTAACTATGGTTCAGAAACTGCAGCTGGTGCAGAATTCAGCAGCCAGATAGTTGACTATGACAGGATGGTTTGAATATATAACACCAATACTGACATGACTGCTTTAGCTACCAATGTGTTTCCAGGCTCACTTTAAGTTTTATTTTATAAAGCCTCATGTGCCTCAAGGACTGCCTCTCCCCACGTGAACCAATATGGACCCTATGATAATCATCTGAGGATCTTCTTCATGTGTCCCCTGTATGGGAGATTCAGAGTTTGGCAACCTGAGAATGGGCCTTTTCAGTGGTGGTTGCCCACTTGCAAAATGCTATCCACCGGAAGGCACAGCTTATGTCATCTTTATCTAGTTTTAGGCAAATACATTTCTCTTTACCTGGAATTTTGAACTTTAATTTGAACAATAGTTTTGTGGTTTCATTTAGTGGTCTGGGACCCCTAATCCTGAATCTTTTAATCTTGCAGCAAATTATATGCACAGATCTAGATAGGACATTAGTCTACCTAAAGGATGGTGAAACACATTTATTAGCTAAAATCAAAGTGTTTAGATGCATTTTTTATTTTTTTAATAAGAACATATTTATTCAAATGTTATACTTCAACTTTGTCCACTGCCATAATACCACAGAACAGTCACTCCAATCACCAATCCCTCCTCACTATTATGTTGACTTGCCAAATATCCTACATTTGAACTTGAGGATTTTGTAATATAACCAGGGGCTGCCTGCCATGTTAATTTCACTCACCAGGCCCATCTGACCCCACCAACCCTAGCCCTTTGCCATCTTCCATTTTATTTTATTTTATTTATTCCACCCTATACCCATAGATCACAGGGCAGTTTTATACCTGATCAATCCCGTCTCCCTCTGCACCTCACCAGTCTCCCTCCCCAATGTCTTTACACCTCACCAAATGCTCCTCCCTCTCTTTATACCAGGCTTCCTCAACCTCAGCCCTCCATATATTTTTGGCCTACAACTCCCATGATCCCTAGCTAGCAGGACCCAGTGGTCAGGGATGATGGGAATTGTAGTCTCAAAACATCTGGAAGGCTGAGTTTGAGGAAGGCTGCTTTATACCCTCCCAATCCTTTCCTTAGCCAGACCCACCATTATAGCTTGCCCAAACCATCCCCCTTACCTGACAGCTTGCCCCTCCCCAACGTAGCTACAGTCTTTTACATTTTTTTATGGAAGGAGGAAAAGATATTATTGACTACTACTGTATATACCGAAGTCCCCCAATTTGCTAGGGGTTCTCCTTCTGCAACTCAAGAGACAGGTGGAATGTGCCATGTCATGCAGCTGCAGGGTCACACGGCTTGCAGTTGGCTCTGCTTGACAGCAAATCAAGGGGCTTGCTGGCTCTCAGGGAGGTGGGGCCCATGAGTGGACCAGAAGGAGGACTGAGTCTCCTCTGGGCCACACACAAGCTATTTAGGGAAGCCTGCCTCATCCATGCCATGGTGGTCATGATGATAGGGAAACTGCAACTGCAAAACTCCCTTGATGGAACATAATTGATTCAATATTATTTTCCATTCCAGCAGCTAATTCCAGAGAAGTGTTGCATCTAGGGATCTCTATGGGGAAAGTTGCCTTTTTTCCACTCTTGTACACTTCAGCATTGGCCCTTTTCCTTAAGTTTTTACTGGCTGAAGAAAGAAGGTGCCAACTTGCCTGGGAGTAAGTCTCCTTGAACTCAAGAAGACTTACTCCTGAGCAAGCATACACAGGAATGTACTGGAACTACACAATATAAAGTGCCCAGGTTCTCAAAGGCTCTTGCCTTGTTTCTGTCTGTGCCCCTGACAATTTGTGTCAGAAATAAATAAAGAAAGACCATGAATTTATAGCTGCCTCTGCCCTTCCAAGATCAGCATTTTGTTCTGCTCACTGACAGTCTTCTGCTGAATCCAGCATTTCTAGTCCAAGCCCTTGTAATTGGTAAATTGTTGAATTATTATTAAAAGCCCTGACTGAGGCTTCTACTCTTGACTTTTCCGTTTGAGTAATAGAAAATAATCACTCTCTCTGGCTCTTGTGATTTAGTTAATTAACTGATAGAGAGGCAGCACAAATAATTTTTACAGTTGTGTACTTATTGTTTTAAGAATTATATGAAAATTAATCCCTTACCAGATGATTAGTGTTTTTTAAGATCAACTAATGAACAAAAACAGTCTTCTGTTTCCATTTTAATGTATTTTTAATCACCAGCTAAATAACAAAGAAGTGTCTTTTAAAATAATTAAGACTACACATCAAGTCTCCATAGGATATCAACAATAAAGGGGTTAATGATGCATACAGTAATCATGAAAACAATTTTTAAAACTTGAAAGAACCAAAAGCAACATCCCTAATCCAAACTCATCTGTGCCAGACTAAATTTCCACAATGTACAATGATTGTATTCATCCTGCAGAATTTGCAGAAAAAGTAATAGATGGTACTTCAGAATGGCAATTTTCCATTTACACACAGCCAAATATTTAAATTAAATTAAGCCCCAACAAAAGAAGGGAAGATGGAAACCACAGAGAACATGATCCAACTTACTGTCTCATGAAAGAACACCACAGGGAACATCTTTGTAAAATTAGAGCAGAGCTTTGTAGGCATTTAAAAAAAAACAACTCATTTAGGAGTCTGTTTACACAATCACTTGTTACCCCTTAACTCTTGTCTCTGATCTATTTATTTGATCCAGAGAGTTAATCAGAGATAATCCATTTTCAAAGTGTTAAAAAAAAGCCACTGGATAATCAGGGGCTCTTGCCTCTCCTCTGCTAGGTCCCTAGATAAAGTAGATAAGGTCATTTTCTCAGAACGACATGCAGACTTTGGATGTTAAAATAAGCACCAAATGATGCATATAGCTTCTAATATAGTGTGCAAAATACAAACTCTTGAACTTTTAATGAGTTCTAGGAGATGAGTTTCCAGGAAACTCACCAGACTTGGGTCTGGATATGAGCTTTGGTATCACTCCAAAGAAATGAGAACTTCCAGTTTACCCCCTAAACCTAATCCTGACCATTCAGCTGCTCCCATCCCTTGAATAAAATCCCTCCTTCCTCTTTCAAAACACTGGGGCAACTGCAATGATCCTTTGGATACAAGAGCTAAAACCTGATCTCTCCCTCTTTTTGGTGCCAGGAAGGAGGGTTGGTCCAGTAGGAAGAAACACTCAAGAGGTCCTTGAGGGATATAATTGCCCTTTTAAAAAGTATTAGGCAAATTCATCATTGGCTATTAGTCACCATAGCTAGATGACGCCTTCTGGTTAAGAGACAGTGTGCTTTTCAAAATCAGTTTCTGCTAATTTTTTCTGTAAACTTTAGTGAAACTTGCAGGAGGGCTGCTAAACTTCAGGCTCTGCTTATGGGTTTCCCAGAAACAGGATGATGGATTAGATTAGCCATGCCTTGATCCAGTATGCCTGCGTGCCTAGAATACTGTGATATACAGTATCCATCATTAGATGGATTTACTACTCCTTTATGAAGGGGTTAACACTCCTTCTTCAGCAACCTGTGAAACCTGTAGTTCTTTTGGACTTCAAAGTTAAAGTGTGTGGCGGCAAGAGTTCCGCATCTGTGAACACAGATCTCTAATAAATAAAAAATAAATCTGATACATAAATCATAAATTGCATAGACTTGGGAATATGAATGTATCTTTGTCTGCTTTGGATTTAATATCTTATGCAGGATACAAGCTAGTTGAAGGAATGGAAGAGAAGAAAAATATTTTTTCACACAGGCCTTTGGCCCAGACTTCTTTGCAGTTTTACTTTTTAGTAACGATGAAGAATTGAGCAATATGACACATTCAAGTCTTGCAACTGCCATTGTATGGATGACGGTGAT